AAACTGAATACTAAGATTATTACGCACGAAGAGTTTGTAGATAAGACAAAGAAGGAAATCAAGAATTTTTTTCAAAAACGCAGAAAGGAGTGCAACGGAAAGATGGGAATTATTTAAGCAAAAGATAAAAATGAACGCAATAGAGTGTGGTTGCTACATGCAGTATCAAGCTCGAAAACAGGAACGTGAGCTACGGGCAGAGCTAAATGATTTGGTGAATATTGAAGCAGAAAACCCGGGCTTATTAACACATCAACTGCAGGTTGTCAAAAACAAAATTGAATGTCTTGAAAAAGATAAATATAAAGGCGCAATTATACGAGCAAGAGCTGAGAGATACCTCGTGGGTGAAGCCCCGACAAAGCGAGCCTTGTCAGATGAAAAGGCATATGCACGAGCTCACGACATACTAGAGATAGAATAGAATGGTAAAATATTGAGACAACATGAAGTTATTATGAAAGCTTTTGAAAACTATTATCAGGACTTGTTTGCTTATCGCGAACCAAAGGAGCCAGGTTTTGTAGATGAGTTCTTGATAGAAATACCGACACTTAATGCTGAGGACACAAATTTATTGGAAATGTCTATTAGTATAGGGGAAATTGAGAAGGCTATCGGTGATCTTGGCATGGGCAAATCACCTGGTCCAGATGGCATTAATGCCGCCTTTTACAAGGCGTTCAAGGAGGATATGGCCGCCGCATTGCATGAGGTTTTTTCAGAGTCTTTAGATCGCGGAACTCTGCCTTCATCGTTTAATCGGGCACACACCGTGCTGATTCCTAAAGGGAAAGAGCAATATGTTTTACGCAAAGTGACAGGATACAGGCCAATCACGCTAACAAACGTAGATTATAAAGTGTTTAGTAAAGTTCTGGCTAGGAGGTTGCAAGGAGTTATACACAAGTTGGTCGGGTCACATCAGACTTGCGGCATCAAGCGTAGGAGCATATTCACGAATATTCATGTTGCTAGGAGCATTTTGGAGTATTGTGACGCAGCGCTTCTAAAAGTAGCTATGTTGCAAATTGATCTAGCCAAGGCTTTCTACATGGTTCCACACAATATACTCTTCATGCTAACTAAGTACGTTGGTCTAGGTGCGATCATATGTAAAGGTATTAGATTGGCATACAAAAGTTCAACCACAAATTTATATGTAAATGGAGAACTCTGACAGCGCATACAAGTACTTTCCTCCGTGCGCCAGGGGTGTCCTTTAAGTCCTTTGCTCTTCGCTCTATTTTTGGAACCATTGTGTTGGAAAGTGATTCACCATGCAGGGATTAATGGTTTCAGGTTGCAGTCATGTGAAGTGCGTGTTTTGGCATACGCCAACGATATTGCCTTTTTTGCAGTTGATAGAGAGAGCGTCACTTCGTTATTAAAAATCACTTAAAGGTTTTGTGACACGAGTGGAAGTTTAATGAACAAAGAGAAAAGCATTGATTTATGGCATGGTAATTGGAACCTTACGCCCAGTCCCTTTGGAAATATTCAGTGGCTCACGACGCCTAGTCGTTACCTAGGGGTACCATTGGACAGGTATCAAGACAGTGAAGCATTTTGGCTTGGAAAGGCTGAAGAACTGCGCGTGACCGCCGAATGATGGGGTGGTCGTGGCTTATCAGTTTTCTCTCGGTCAGCTGTATGCAACGTGTTTCTGGCTGCTAAAATTATGTACCTTTTGCAAGTACTTAGTTGTACGCGTAAAAGCATTCACAAAGTCCACAGGATATTTGCCACGTTCATCTGGAGCTCTACGTGGGAGAAAACATCTAGAACGAACTTGTTTCGGCGAGTTAAGCAAGGAGGGCTGTGTCTGTGCCATCTGTTTCTTAACCAAGTAATATCACGTTTCCTGCTCATTAGAGACCAAAGAGACTCTTTTTTACGTTCTTTATTTGAAACAACGCTGTTACACCACAAGCCTGACTTCTTTGTATCTTCAGACAAGCGAGAACGACACACCTTGTCACCGTTCTTGCGCGAAGTAGTGTTCTCATATCGTTTCTTAAGGGCGAGGTTTTCGATAGATTATCTAACAAATGTGAAAAGAAAGCGCCTTATGAAAGACCTAATACAGAATGTTTTTCCTGCGCCCCTGTACCATTCAAAGTATGAAAAATCATTTGGTCATGACGTACTAAAGCGAGTGAAAAACATGTGTATACCACCCAGTGTGAAAACCTTCTTTTTTAAACTTCATACGGGAACCTTGCCAGAAAAAAAAAGGCTTGAAGAGAGAGGGATTTATGTACCAAGGGGAAGCAGCTGTCTCCTGTGTAACAAACCTGAAACTATTGAACATGTGTTTATTGATTGTAAGAACGCTATTTTCTTTTTGGACATTTTACAGAGGACTTTAAAAAAAGATTTACCTCTTACTTCATATGCAATTTGTTTTTTCCCTTGTGATAGTTCTGTGCAAAATTTGAATGTTATATTTTTACTTGGTCTTCATTCGGTTCGGCGTAGTATGCTGTCGTACTGACACTGTGATGTGAGAGTTCCATCCGTTAATGAGTGTTTCGTGGAAACTGTTATAAAAGTGAGAGATGTGTATAAGACTACCGACTGTGTTGAAGATGTAATATCTTTGTTTGACGTGTTATCACGCATGAAACACGTGTGATAGTGATTGTCGTATTAGCTTTACCTGTAGTCAAGAAGGCAATAAAGACGAAAAAATGGTGTGGCGCAGGAGTTAGTATCTCTGAATAGGAATCCGCAGGTTGCACGTTCGATCCTTCATGGCACCTCGCTTTTTTTTTTACGGGACCGGTGTTTTCTTATACCGTTTTTATAGAATTCTTTTTTATTTTTTGTGGCAGCTCGTCACGGTGATTCTGACGCCATTTTGCGCTCAAGCGTTGCCGGCACCACAGCACCCACCATATCCCACTATGCGCCATGGTGGGCGTTTTCCACCATTCACCCACTACATTAATACACTATAATGGTGCGTGGTGGTTTACACCATGCCCACCATTCGTTTTACATCCGATAGGAAGAAGAACAGGTGGGCAGATGAAATTAAAGAGTTTGCGGGTATAAATTGGCAGCAGCAAGCACAGGACCGGGTTAACTGGCAGAACATGGGAGAGACCTTTGTCCTGCAGTGGACGTAGTCAGGCTGATGATGATAGTGATGATGATGTGGATGATGATGATGATGTGATGGGGTATGCTCCTTATTTGATCGCATCCTAGTTTCTAACCTCATCATCGATTTTCAAAACTCTATTTTGTCTCCATAGCAGCTAGGAAATTACAGAAAGCGAAAACGTCAGTTGCAATGACTGCCGATTTTATTATGCCCCACCGTGGTGGTCTAGTGGCTAAGGTACTCGGCTGCTGACCCGCAGGTCGTGGGATCGAACCCCGGCTATGGGGGCTACACTTCTGTTGGAGGCGGAAATGGTGTAGGCCCATGTGCTCAGATTTGGGCGCACGTTAAAGAAACCCAGGTGGTCAAAATTTCTGGAGCCATTCACTACGCCGTCACTCACTATCATATCGTGGTTGTGGGATATTAAACCCCACATATCAGTATCTACCTCTTAATTATTATTTGTTGGTAAGGTGTGCTATCAAAAATTAGTACAAACAAAACTATGAAATGGAATTCGCTTTGCTATTATAGCAGAGTTGTGGCTTCGAGAGACGCGTCACCTCATCTGCGTGCGAGAAGTTCGCTTCCGTGGTTCTCGTTTGTTGTTCGTGTACCTACCGACCTTCATTCGTGTGTCCTTACATGGACCGAGCTGTGCAGTGGATAGTTCGATCAGCAGCCTGCCGGCCTCCAGCAGTTGCTTACGTTACACGCACAGATAAGAAACACTTGTGGGACCTGTAGCCTAAGGCTACTTGTAGTTCCTATAAAGAATACGAAGGAAGTCATAACAGAGTATACTTAGGAAATAAAAAATAAGTCAGTAGTTGTAACATTTGCAATAAACAAAAATTTCAGTGCTGATTTTTGAAACCGATTGAAACTAATTACCATCTTCATTTAAACAGTACACTTACCCAAGCATTTACATACATGTGAGTACAGACGAACAAGCTAGGGCGAACATACAGATACGTTGAAAAGATAGCGACAAGTTTGAAAAAATTTGCTTTACTAATATCTGTCAAACGTTAATTAGCACACAGGAAATCTGTTGAACTTGAAAATACGCACATGATGACAAAACGAGAGCCATGCCAGTTTTTTTTTCCATTTGTTACACAGTAATACAACACTATCGTGTGACACTTATGAAAGAAAGTGCTGCTCGTTACCATTGCAGCAGCGATGAAACGATAGAGCACGTTCTCTGTCACTGCCCTCGTTACAGCGTGCAAAAACGGCAGCTAGCTGCTGCGTTAGCACGTCTTGACGAGAGACCCTTGACAGAACAGTCAGTGCTTCAAAGGCGACATTATTTTTCTTTGCAAAGAAAATCAGTGACGACCTTATTGAACTTTTTGTCTGGTAGTGGCCTAGTGAATTGGCTATAGCACCCCAGCTCATTTGTTTTCTCTTTCGTGCGTCTAGTTCGATCTTCGCTCTCTTTCCCATCTTTATTTCCCATTATCTATTCCTTTAGTGCAGGGTAGCAAACCAGATGCTCCAATTTAAGGTTAACCTCCCTGCCTTCCCTTCATTTTATTCTCTCTCTCTCTAGTACACAGAATGAGCAGTAAGAGATACACTTCTTAGAGAACTAGCAAGAATTTAAGACTTACCCTATCTTGAACAAAGAAAGAAAATATTTTTCCAGGGTGCTGGGGAAGTTCGCAGAATTATTTATTATCTCTGAGGGTTTTCTTTTTTCGAATCTTAATTCCTGTGAACAGTGGCATGCTTTCTCCATGCGCATCGCTGCGTGATGCGAGATTAAAGTGACCCCCAATCACATTTCTTGTACATCGCATGAATTATTGTGACATGGATGAGCTGATCGTTGCGGGGCGATCGAGTGACACATCTCGTCAAACTCACGCACATCCAAAGTGACGAACTCGTGAGTTCCCAGGGCGGGGTCCCTAAGGCAGTCCGGCTCTTCGGTCCTCTCCTTAAGATCGAGCACCGAGCGTCCCTTCAGGCAAACTGCGGCTGCAATGCACAGGCACATCCGCAGTAAGTGGAATGCCCCGAAAATCAGGAACAGGACTCTGCTTACAGCAGGCCACAGGGCCTTGTACGTCAACGTCGCCACGAACTGAGTCCTCAGCAGGCCCCACATGATGTCTCTATAAAGGTCGTTCAACATTAAAGAACACTGGGTTGCAAAAATGTCGTTTACAAATGTGCGAATGCGTGAACTTTTAGACCGCCTTGCATAGTACCGGAGGTTATGGGATTCAAGTATCCAATGCATTTCGGACAATTTTCGATTATTACAAAGCATTCCCAGAACAATTGTTAAGTAATGTTTTCAACTTTTTCAACTTTGAATTTTTCCTTTCAGTGTCACAAGCGAAAATGAAGCATCGCGAAAAGAGATCGCATTTTCTTCATGTTCAAAGAACTATTCTTCACCACAATACTTTCCTTCGCCCACTTTAGATTCACCCGGCTTCGTACCGTTCTGCTCGCCATGATCACGTGTACAAGGTCAGCGTACTTCGTCACAACACCTTAGCATGTTCACAATCATTCCTCCCTAAAACGTCAACAGATTAGAATAACCTAACTGCATCATTAGTAAGCACTACCGACCCCACTCAATTTAAAAATGCACTAATGAACTCAGAATCGTGAACTGTACTTAAGTGCTATTGACTGTTTAGTGTATTCATTGTGGTTCTAGTTCAGTTGTCTTTTAATAAAGTGTACTCCTTGCATGCAAAACTTCGTCATTATATTTATATTCATCTTAAATGTGTTTACATAATCCTGTAGTTATTTTGTTGTTAGTCTGTATTTTCGCCCCTCCCCTCTACAATGTACAAATGTGCCCTGAGAGTTCTTACAAATAAATAAATAAATAATTAAACTCTTCAGAGATGGCCAGTTATTTTCAAAGTCTCGTTTACCGAGTGGCGTAGAATGTAGTATTAGGTAAGTTCTCAAGTTTCATGCCTATGTTACGTCCACAAAAATGAATAGTCGCAGATCGCCTCTTAGTGTGCGGTTTATTTGGTGCAGCTGCCATTTTGAAATATCGGTAAATGTTCCCGAAAAAACAATATTTGTAGGTGCGATGAGCAGCTATTCCATTTATTTACCGACATGACTAACACAATATTCCACTTTTTATCCAAACGTTTTGATTGTTCACATGTCTTAACAAACTAGCAGTGTATCGATCCTATTCTAACTGTGACATAACTTTCGAAATACTTATGGTCACAATCCAACGATGAAACTATCCCCGCTGCGTCCAAGCTCGTAGACAAAAATGCTCTCCCCCCCCCCCCCGAAATTTTAACGGAAGTGTGCGTTTTACTGAGGACAAATTAAAAGTAATAATGTTTTTAAAGCCTTCATCAGGTGCTCCTCCACCTCATAAAATATTCTTCGCTATGGCCCTGGCTGATTAGTATTCTCTCCCACATTAATCGTGCGTTTGACACGACAGTGCTGAGGAGCTCGTTCCACAGGAATTCCAGTGTCGACAACGGCGTCGTTGGTTGTGAGCGATGAATTGGAGTTGTCTTTACACGAAATTTCTCTTTGATACAACAGATGCACAAAAAGAAATAATAAAACTCTCAGATTCGAGCAAGAATCGAATGCAGGCGTTTTTCGTGACTAGTTGATAATCCACCATTGGGCCATGCCAGTGTATCGTTTTCTTCATAAGAAGAAATGGAAGCGGTGCACTAGAAAACGTACTTCAAATTTGTATAATCAGATATATTTAACCACGAATCAAACACAGGAAACCACTCTGGAGTGTCACTAAAATGTTCATATATCCCGGGAGTTTCAGTTACTTGCTTGTGGAAGACGTATTTATGTTGATCCCTGAGGTTCAGCATTTCTGTCAATCAACTTTACTCACTTGACACTACGCAGAGCAATAAAAAAGATTGAGTCTCAGGGTAATGCCGTGCTCTTTGTTCCATCAAGTTACACCTAATATTGACAGGATTGATTTCCGTCGTGTTTTGGTGTTCTGGTTAGAACAGACAAAAAGACCACTGCAATCATAACAGTCAATAAACCTATCACCAATAAATAGTCTCATATTTTTATGCCCAGAATCTGTGCTCCAGAGAACACAGAATCCCTTAGTCCTTGGTCATGTATTTTAAAAAAGTGTGTTTGTGTGCGTGCCGAAGAAGGTGTTCTTTGCTCCTGGAGAGAGCCATAATTCTTGAAACTATAATTAGCTTGATACGTGCCACCTGAAGAAATATAAACGTAGCCCTATATAGTAGGATTAGTAATCAAACAATAATAGCATTCTTGACCAACTCCTTCCAGCTTCAGCTAAATAATTATGCTATTAAAATTCATGTTTTCAGGAATAGTAGGCATCAACAATTTCTTTTCGAAACCCAGAAAGTGAATATATTTCCATAAATGCTGACACAAATGTACTGAGAGAGGCGTAGAAACGAAATGTAACTTCATTTCCGATGGAGGCGGAAATGTTGTAGGCCCGTGTGTTCAGATTTGGGTGCACGTTAAAGAACCCCAGGTGGTCGAAATTTCCGGAGCCCTCCACTACGGCGTCTCTCATAATCAAATGGTGGTTTTGGGACGTTAAACCCCACATATCTATCTATCAATATGTAACTTCGCGAAAGTAAACGAAACATGCGACTGATTACCGTGTAAACAATTACACAAAGCAACACCACATGTTTCAAGCACAAGACGCTAATTATCTCTCTGCATTCGTTTTCAACGCCACATTTAGCGGATGAATACTTAATGCAAGACGTCGTGCCCGTTCGGCGCGTCGTCGTCTCCTTTTGAATGCGAAGCATTTCTTAGCGAACTTCGGCGACTTTGAGCGTTTCTATCTATCTATCTATCTGTCTATCTATCTATCTATCTATCTATCTATCTATCTATCTATCTATCTATCTATCTATCTATCTATCTATCTATCTATCTATCTATCTATCTATCTACCTACTTATCTATCTATCTATCCTTCTATCTATATATCTATCTACTTATCTATCTATCTACTTATCTACCTATCTATCAAGTTTGGTGAATGTATCTCACTGATCAGTGGCACAAATAGCGTCACAATGCCGTCACGTATTTCGTAAACCTGTCCTTACAGACACGTGTGGCACATAGCCGTACACCACGGGCCACAGTATGAGGGTATGCGCTGCGCGTTGTTGACGGTTTTTTCTACTAAGAAACGGCTAGAACAGACGTTTGTAATATTTAGGTAAGAGTGCGAAGAACAAAAAAAAGAGAAAAACTGGTGTTGGCAGTGCTGAAGCGATGAATGCACATAATATTTCAGGTTTTCAGTAGGCATCGAACCCAACCATTCTGAGTGGCACTCAAGAGGCACGTTATGATTACTTTTTGCCGCACTTGAGCTGGCACTGCCCATATTGTTTTTTTTTTTTGTTTGATGACGCATCTAACGTTTTGCCCTAATTGTCACGCCACCGGATATTGAAGCACAGTACTGCGGAGAAAATCATTAGCGAGGAATATTAAAAGGCGATTGCAGTGGCGATTCCTTTGCTAAGGCCACTTATGAACCGTTTTCGCCTGAGTGCATGCGTCGCGAGAATTGAAGTCGTGCCTTTTTTTGTTTCTTGAAATCATACTATTGGGTATCTAGCGGTAGTGACAGCCATCAAAATCAGTCTTAGAGCTCCTTCAGAGCATTCCCATAGACTATAGCAGAGAACTTTCTGGGGGTACGTAGCAAGGTTTTCCGGATTTGCTGGGCTGAGGCGCCTACTTTGAATGCACCTATGACGACAATCCACCATCCATTATTTGATACAACTATGGCTGAGGCGCTGTGACAAGTTTTGTGCCTTATGGCTATTGATTTAGTCAATTGCGCTTGAGCTACTTTTGCTATATTAGCCCCAAGTTTTGAAAAAGACATTTGTACGTGTGAACTTCATTATGAATGTCAGTGGCAGCACCAATGGCAATAAATTTTATGATGCTTTCTCAAAGGAGATGATTGTGGCTCGTAAAGTGAGTGGGTGCGAGAGCAGCGCAGACAGCATGCCCAACGCACGTCGTTTCTGCCCATCGCAGGTGTGTAAACCATTGCCTTTATACGCTAAAAAGAGCGACAACGCTTTTCTTTTTGTGCTCCTGCACCCACAACTGATGTCTGAAATTGTTTGCGACTGTTTTTCGATGCTGTTCTTGTTAATGCAATCCGGCGATGTCGAAAATAACCCGGGTCCCCTTACGCGTTCTCAGGCGCTTCCGCAACTTGAAAACTTGCCTGATGAACTCTCTGAGCAGTTGAATGCCATTTTTCATCTCCTAAAAGATAATCACGCCCAATCTGTGGAATCGGCAAAGAGTCAAAAGGAGTTAGTGACTGATATGAAAATCATCAAGAGCAGTCAAAAGAGCATAGAAGACCAAATTGGAAATCTTCAGAGTAGATTGGAAGCCGTTAAAGGTAAAATGCAAACTCTTGACGATCACAACGCTGATGTGGCAACTATTAATTCTACAGTCGGCATGCTAACAGCAGAGCTTCAATCCTTGCAATCGCGCCTTGACGAACAAGATGACCGGTCGCGCCGCAATAACCTCCTGTTTCATGGCGTACCCGACTGCAAAGAAACTTGGGACGAATCTGAGGCCCACATAGGAGAAGTTCTGACAGGCGTAATTGATCCGCTATCCGCAAACGACATTGAGCGGGCTCACCGCTTGGGAGCATTTCGCCTAGGTAGACATCGCCCCATTATCGTAAAATTTGCCAATTTTAAAACAAAAGACAAAATACTCTGCGCCCACAAAAAACTTAAAGAAAAGGACTGTTCTGTGAACGAAGATTTTTCGCCGGCGACACGCCATGCTCGAAATCAACTTGCGGCCTTCGCGAAAAGCCAGTCAAACGAAGCACCCTTCCAACTCCGGCACAACAAGCTGATTATGAACAAAAAACAATACTTCTATGACCCCTCAACTAATTGCGTAACAGAGCACCTACAACGCCTGCCCCATAACCCCATAAACCACGCCGTGCCGAGCAATGAAAGCTAGGAAAAACTGAGGGGCAGTGGAAGGAAACTAAATCGCGTATCATTTCTTTACACCAACATTCGTAGCATTCTTA